CTGTTGGCAGGATGTCCTGGTGATGGGCGCTGGTCCTTGTGACCCAGGGGCAGGTGTGACATATGGTGCTGCTGTACTTCGGGGCCTGGGGGAAATAAATCCTTGGTTCTTGCCAGGGGCCTTTTTGGAGACTGTTTAAAGGGTGTGAGAAGAGCTCTGGATGGTGTTGCCAGAGGTCAAGGCAGCCACTGAGACATGAGACTGTTTCAAAAAACAAAACCGAAAATTTAAAAATAAGTAAAAGACATTAAAAAGTACAGGGATTATAACTGATATTGAAATAATTATCAAAATGCTACTAAAACTCAAATTTACACAATGCTCTTTAGTAACGGCCTGAAGTAACAAAATATCATCTGAAGCAGTTAATCTGTTGAGAGTGACCCACACCTCCATCAGCCATTCTTGTTAGACTAGGACAGTGGTTGTATGACTGTGTGTGTTGAGGAGTCTCCAGACATGGCTTCACCAGACTCACTGCAAGTTCATAGTCCACGTTTCCCAGCACTTGGGAGGCAGAGGCAGGCAGATCTCTGAGTTCAAGGCCAGTCTGGTCTACAGAGCGAGTTCCAGGACAGCCAGGGCTGCACAGGGAAACTCTGTCTGGAAACAAAATAACAACAAAAATCAAATTAAAGACTGATTTTTCTTTTCATCTAGTGACTTGTGAAAATAGAGATGTACTTGTGAGTTCACAGCCCCTGAATTCTACCTGTGCACGCCCCGGGAGTAGAGGGCTGTGACCTCATGACAACTTGCTGAGAGGTGGTTTTCTTTCTAAGTTCTGTTTGTTTTTGTTGTTCTTGTTTAATGGGTTTGTTTGTTTTTGCAACAGTGTCTCACTGTGTAGCCCAGGCTAGCCTGGAGCTTGGGATCCTCTTGCCTCAGCAGCCAAGTGCAGGGACATAGATGTGGACCCCTGTGGCTGTAGCATTTTGGCCACTTTCTGACATCTGTTAGTCTTAAGTGTCTCCTCTGTTCAAGTTCACAGTTGTTTTAGTGAAAAAAGCTTCCTGGAGGGCACTGCTGGATTGTTCACACCCCCACCCCTACCCCCTCTTCCCTCCCCACCCCTCACCCCTGCTCTGCTCCTTCTGTGGGTGGCACTTGCAGAGTGGCTGTGGCTGTGGTGGACTGCACCCTCTCTCCTTTCAGTGATGGTAAGTGAGTGTGTGTATGAGGGTTTTTTTGTCACTGTGACGAAATACCCATGTCAGAAACCACTTAGGGAGGAGAGAGTGGTCCTGGCTCACGTCCTGGCAGCGAGGGCATGCCACACTACGGCAGTTCACATCGTGGTGGCCAGGAAGCGAGAGGGGGAGGCAGAGAGGGGGAGCATGGGCCCTCGGTGGCTTTCTTGTTTTAGTCTGTCCGGGCCATCCACATTCAGGTGGGTCTTCCCCTCGGCTAACCCCTCTGGAAAGTCCTCACTGACAGGACCGGGGTGGGCTTCACCCGCCTCACAGGTGATTCTCAAGCCAGCCAAGTTACAGTGAAGAACAATTGTTCTGGGTTTCAGGGCATCACTGGTTGTTGTTTTAGCTACTTTTTTCTTGCTCTGACCAAAATGCCCACAAGAAATAGTTCCAGGAAGAGGGTTTATTCCCCATGCAGGTCTAGGTGTTAAATCCATCAGTGGGAAGGGGAGTTAGAGGCTGCAGGCCACATTGTATCCACAGTCAGGAAGCAGAAAATGAACAGGAAGTGTGGCCTGGCTGTAAACCTCAATGTTCAGACTCAGTGACCTGCCAGGCTCCACCTCCTAAAGGTTCTCCAACCTCAAACAGGGTCCCCGGTCGGGCACCTAGTGTTCAAACAGTGAACGAGGGGACACTTCTCATCCCCCCTCAACACTAGTGTCAGGGAAGGAAATGGATTTTTGTAGCTTAGCCCATAGCGTGAGATGACCTGAGGATGCTCTAGTGAACCGTATCATTCTGATGCATTTGAAAATTAAGATGAAAAGTCAAGACAGGAGAACAAGAGTTGAGTAGTCCCGAGAAGCTGAGTGTAGAGAAAATCCTGCTTCCTGCCAAGTTTGTACGCCCAGCCACAAAGATCTTTGTAGTGAGATCTTCCAAACATCACAAAAATAACCAGAAGGGAAGAGGGCTACTATTTGTTTATTTATAAGGCTACATAGCATTGTTATGAAACTTGACAAGGAAATTACTAGAAACTGTGTGGGACCAAAAGTCAATAAAAAAAGATACAAAGGATACAATGAAATAATGTGGGGCAAATGATCCCAGCATTCTAGAAAAAGGACAGCAGGCCAGCTGCTTGGGTTTACTTAGGAAAGCTTTGTTCAAAAAGGAATAAACTAGCTAAAGCCCAACTATGGAATAAAGGGGGAAAATCTCCGATAAATCTTCTCCCTATGAGCAGCACAAACTTTTGGCAGGGGCTGTGGCTCAGTGGACTAAGTGCCTGCCAAGCACTCTCAGCTCTGGGTGGCATCTTCAACACTGTATAAAAAGGGCGTGGTGGCATGTGTCTCTAAGTCCAGCACTGGGGATACTCAGTCATTCTCAGTCACATCATTGGAGGCAGCCTAGTAACATGAGACATGGTCTAAACAAACAAACAAACTAACTAACAAACAAACAAACAGAAAACAAAACAAAAACAGCCTTTTAAGGGAGGGAAATTAAAGATTTTTAAATGATGGAAGACATGTCATTTCTTTTTCGATCCACAGAGTCAGGTAGATCCAATCTTGGGCTGATTGCACTGGGGTCTGCCTTTAACCCAGCACTCTGAAGGCAGTCAGGAGGAGCTCTGTGTGTCTCAGGCCAGTCTGGTCTTGTCTACATATCAAGTTCCAGGCAAGGCAGGGAGGAGTACATGGAGAGACCCTGTGTTAAAAAAATAAAATCAATCAGATTATTTTTCAAAAATAGAAGTTGATAAGCTGGTTCTGATAGTTTCTTGGAAGTTGTTTGTAGTGAGGGCTAGGAGGGCTGATACCTGGTTGAGTGTGCAGGTCCGAATGCATGTGTTATCTCAGATTGGTGACAGGGTCATATTGAATACACTGTGGAGAGGAGGAACTAGAGAGGATGCTGGATCAATTGGAAGTCCACATGGACAATAATTTTTTTGTTCGTTTTGCTTTTGAGACAAGGCCTCATTCTGTAGCCCACACTAGCCTGGGATTTACAGCAGTCCCTCCTGAGTGCTGGAATTACAGGTGTGAGCCACCATTGGCTGAATCTTTTTCTTCTGTCTCATCCCATATATAAAAATTAATTGCCATTTACCATACATGAGAAGGTTAAGACCACATGTTTCTAGAAGAAAGCAAAGTGAAACGTCTCTATGACATCAGCACACAAATAGCGTCAGCTATAAAGGGAAACACTGGCCAGAACTGGTGACTAAGGACTCCATAAAGAGAAGGCAAGTTAGGGAATGGATCAAAGAATCCATGGTACACAGACCCACGTGTGTCCACTCAAGCTGCAGAAAGACATCAGTAAATGAGGAAGAAAAAGACAGACAGATTCATAGGAAAACTGGGCAGGTGTCATGTCACCTCCAAATTCCCAATAAACAAGCAAACGGCAAACCTCATGAACAGTCAGGGAGCGGGAAATGACAGCATGCCGGGCACTCCTCTACAGTCCCGAGTGGCTGAAGTGAACAAGGCCAGCAAGCCAGGTGCCCAGAGGATGCGGATGAGCTGGCAGTTTGCTGCTGGGGGCATGGGCATTGGCCTTTCTGAGTCTGTTCTGAGGCATCATCTGTGTGCATTTGTGTGCACAGCCCCTGTGGCTGGCGCCCCATTCTTAGACGTAGCAGGG